GTGGTGACAGTGTGACCAACAGAGCCTGCAGGTGGATCAGCGGTTATTCCTCTGGGCAGGGCCGCCTACGGTGTCTGTGCTCCCCGAGGGCCCTGTGCGGGTGAAAGTGGGGAAGGCCATCACCCTGGAATGTGTCAGTGCTGGGGAGCCCCGCTCTTCTGCTCGCTGGACTCGGATCGGCACCCCCACCAACTTGGAGCAGCAGATGTTTGGGTTCGTGGACAGCCACACGATGCTGCAGGTGAGGCGTGGCTTCCCCTGGCCAGAGGCCTGGGCTGTTTTATCTCTGTCTGAGGCCCAGTCAGGGCCCATCCTTGAACAGATGCTTGGAGTGAAGAACGTTGGATGGGCAATCGGGTGATGAATGGATAGAGAGAGAAAGGGAGGAATGGGATAGGTGGATAGTGGGTAGATTGGAAGATGGGTGGGAAGAAAAAAGGAAGGAAGGAGGGAGGGAGGGAGGGAGGGAGGGAGGTAAGAAGAGAGGGTAGGGGTTGGATGGGTGGGGAGGTGGGTAGATGGATGAATAGGTGGGCGGTTTAATGGGTGAATGGATAGACGGACCAATAGGATGTCTTGAGTGTTAGCTCTCAAGCAGCCAGTCAAACAGGAAAGCTAAAAACAAAAGGAAGGGTAGAGGAAAGAGGTAAAGCCAAGGCAGAGTGGGGCTGATGCCAAGGTCCTCTCTCATGACCAGCCTCCTTGCTTTCTTCCAGATTTCATCAGCTAAACCGTCAGACGCGGGTACCTACGTATGCCTCGCTCAGAATGCGCTGGGCACGGCACAGAAGCGGGTGGAGGTGATTGTGGACACGGGCAACGTGACCCCGGGGGCCCCACAGGTCCAGGTTGAAGAAGTTGAGTTGACTGTGGAAGCCGGACACACGGCCACCCTGCGCTGCTCAGCCACAGGTGTGGACGGGGGCTGGCACACGGGGCAGGCAGAGCAGTGGTGCCTGGGGCTTGAATTTTAGCCACAAGAAATCTGAAGATGGTGTCATGCTGCTGCATCTCCTAGTGATGGCTGAGGTGCCCACTTAGTGCCTCCCGTGAAGGGGCAGGACCACTCAGGTCTTCTCCTCACCATCCCTACTCCCAGCTGGACCCTGAGGTAGCCCAGTGACCTCTGCTACCTTCTACTCTGCTTCACAGGCAGCCCGAAGCCCACCATCCACTGGTCTAAGCTGCGCTCCCCACTGCCCTGGCAGCACAGGCTGGAAGGTGACACACTGATCATCCCCCGGGTAGCCCAGCAGGACTCGGGCCAGTACATCTGCAACGCCACCAGCCCTGCCGGACATGCAGAGGCCACCATCCTCCTGCATGTGGAGAGTAAGGCACTCACCTGCCCTCCTTGGGCCACTGTCTGTACCGCATGCAGGTCTGAGCCCCGCCCCGCCACCAGGCTACACCCTGGACAGAACCCCCTCCAGAAGGTCCCATGCACCTCGGCCCCCCAGAGCCTCCTCTCGCCTAAAGCCCACATTCCCTCCTGGGACCTTTGGTTCCCTTATCCCCAGTCCTTGGGGCTCACCATTCAGTGTCCTTGGTTCTTTGGCAAGTCTCCTGCTCCCATCTGACCTCTGTTCTTCCCCTCTCCCCACCTCTGCGTCCCCTTTCCCCAGGCCCACCATACGCCACCACGGACCCGGAGCACACTTCGGTGAGGGCAGGGGAGGCGGTGCAGCTCCAGTGCCTGGCTCATGGGACGCCGCCACTCACCTTCCAGTGGAGCCGCGTGGGTGGTAGCCTCCCCGGGAGGGCGACGGCCAGGAACGAGATGCTACACTTTGAGTCGGTGGCTCCCGAGGACTCAGGCCGCTACCGCTGTCAGGTCACCAATAGGGTGGGCTCGGCGGAGGCCTTCACCCTGGTACACGTTCAAGGTGAGCAGCCTAGCTCAGGCTGGGCAGAACGGGTCAGCTTTCCTCCAGGCCCTTTCCTTACCCAGCAGCTGGCACCTGGGATCCCCACTTAGGACACAAGGACCTCCCTCCATTACCCCACCTGGAAATCCCTCCTTCCCCCTGTTCTCCAAAGCTTGAAGACCCATCACTGAGTTCTCAGCACCTCCGGCTCTCATGGCTGCGTCCCTCCACTGCCATTGACCTCGCACTGCCGAGGGCTGTCTACCTAAGTCCTCCGGACTTCACCTACCAGACTGGGGACGCTCAGGGCAGGGCTTGGGCTCCGTCATTTCAGCAGCCCCGGGCTTGTCCACCACAGGACCCAGAACAGGCTCCGTAAATGCTGGCATTGCTGACCGTGCATGTGTGACAGGGCCGCGCCCGCCCCTGGCATGCCCAGGGTTCCCGTGGATCTCCAAAGAATCCATTCTCCATGGTCTCCTCCATCAGTTACACCAGGCCAGACAAGTGCTGTTGGGCCCCACATTCTAGAAGTGGAAAAGCATGTAGCCCGTTGGTCAAGAGCCTGGGCTACAACGAGCCTGGGTTCAGTGGGCAGCTCGGTCACTTGGTGGTCAGACATGGCCAAGTGGTCTCATACCTCAGTTTCTTTGTCTGTAAAGTAGAGAGAACAGTGCCAGCACATAGGCTGACTAAGAGAGATACACATACATGGAGCCGGTGGCACACAGTAGGCACTTAGTAAATGGCGATAATGTGTATCTGCACCTACCCTGCCATCCATCCCCTGCTGGAGGACCCACGCCTTCACCATGACCATGGATCCTCTTAGGAGAGACGAGAGCTGGTGGAAGCAGAGAGCCCAGCGCCTCACAGGCTCTTACATGGGGTGATTGGGTGACTGCCTGAGCGAGCAAAGGAATGAATGTGCCAATGAAAGGTCTTTTTTCTCTGGTCAGAGAAGCTACCGGGAGAAGAATATTCCCTCAATTTTAGGATGGGGCTCCCTGGGTCCTGGAGAGGCATCAGGGGTCACACACATACACATACACACACACCCTCGTACATGTCTCCACAGGCCCCTCCGGCTCGCTCCCTGCCACCCCCATCCCAGCAGGATCCACACACACCGTTCAGGTCACGCCTCAGCTGGAGACCAAGAGCATAGGGGCCAGTGCGGAGTTCCATTGTGCCGTGCCTAACGACCGAGACACCCAGCTCCGCTGGGTCAAGGAAGGGGGGCAGCTGCCTCCTGGCCACAGTGTGCAGGATGGGGTGCTCCGGTGAGTGGGGATGGGGGCAGGACTGAACTTGGGCACCCCGGCCCCAGGTGTCCAGTGGGGCTGTTAGAATACCTGCCTTCTCGGGGCTCCACGTAAAACAATGTCCTTGGGCAAGTCACTCTCTGACCTCAGTGTCCTCAGCTGTACAGTGGGTTATGAGATCAAAATGAAATTATCTAAAGCACTTGACACAGTGCTTAGCATATGGAAGGCCTTTAGTAAAGAGTGGCCCATATTCGTGTTATGATATAGAGGAAAGCGAACAGGCTCTGTGGCCAGATATAGACGCATGATCCAGGTTGCAGCTCTGCAAATTGGTAACTTTTACCTTGAGTTCTAAACCATAAGGTGTTAATCCAAAATGAGTGTGGTGATGCCACCCTGCCTGCCTCCCTGCCCACCTCACATGGTTTCTGGGGAACTGGAAGTGACACTGTGCTGATCTCTGGTGGCTTTGAACTCCCATGCAATTGCAAAGCATTCTCACCAATTGCTTTTATTCACTGATGACTTACTATTTTTTTCTTTATAGAATCCAGAACTTGGACCAGAGCTGCCAAGGGACATATATTTGCCAGGCTTATGGACCATGGGGACAGGCCCAGGCCAGTGCCCAGCTTGTTGTCCAAGGTAAGATGGTGGTGTCAGGCCTCTGCCAAGAGCAGGGGACAGAGATGAGGAACAAAGGGACTGTGTTCCCCAGGAAGCCCCTTAAATGTTATGAATGAAGAGAATGATCCAATTGTATTGTGCTTGTGTCTGGCATAGAGTAAGAGGGTTGACAAATATTGCAAGGGAAGAAGGAAGAAGGGAGATGGGTGGAGTAAGTGGGTGCTCAGACAAACCATGAAGAATAACATTGGATACACAAGTGAGTAAGGAATAAACAAAAGAGCAGATAGCAAGTGTGTTAATGAGTGAATGCTTCAAAAAGTGAATGAAGGCCCTAGCTGATTTGGCTCAGTGGATAGAGCGTCGGCCTGCAGACTGAAGGGTCCCAGGTTCGATTCTGGTCAAGGGCATGTACCTTGGTTGCAGGCACATCCTCAGTAGGGGTTGTGCAGGAGGCAGCTGATCCATGTTTCTAACTCTCTATCCTTCTCCCTTCCTCTCTGTAAAAAATCAATAAAATATATATATTTTTTGAAAAGTGAATGAAGAAACGAATGAATGCCTAGGGTAGCGGTTCTCAACCTGTGGGTCGCAACCCCTTTGGGGGTCAAATGACCCTTTCACAGGGGTCGCCTAAGACCATCAGAAAAGGGGAAAAGGGAGGCCGGGGGAATGTCAAGGGGGGGCGGAGGAGACATATGTAATACTCTTTGTAATACTTTAAGCAATTAAAATAAAATAAAATAAAATAAAAAAGACCATCGGAAAACACATATATAATTACATGTCGTTTTTGTGATTAATCACTATGCTTTAATTATGTTCAATTTGTAACAATGAAATTGGGGGTCAGCACAACATGGGGAACTGTATTAAAGGGTTGCGGCATTAGGAAGGTTGAGAACCACTGGCATAGGGCTCCAGTGCTCACCTTCCCGCACCCTCAGGCCAGGCCTGCAGCAGGTTGGCCTCACGCTGCCTTTGCCTCCTCCTCCCCCAGCCCTGCCCTCGGTGCTCATCAACATCCGGACCTCCGTGCAGACCGTGGTGGTCGGCCATGCTGTGGAGTTCGAGTGCCTGGCCATGGGTGACCCCAAGCCTCAAGTGACATGGAGCAAAGTTGGAGGACGCCTGCGGCCTGGCATCATGCAGAGCGGAAGCATCATCAGGATTGCCCGCGTAGAGTTGGCCGACGCTGGACAGTACCGCTGCACCGCTACCAACGCCGCCGGCACCACCCAGTCCCATGTGCTGCTGCTCGTGCAAGGTGAGGGCCAGCAGGGACTCCGTGGGGACTGGAGTGTGGCAGGGGTTTCTCATGCTGCCATCTCCTGCCTTGCCTGCTTGACTCTTCCTTTCCACTCTCCTGGGAAGTTTCAATTTTGTGTATTTAAGAGGCAGGTTTCATACGAGTGGTGGCAGCAGGGAATAAACGTGAGTGTTCCTCTGGACCAGGCTGGGACTTGCAGGAAAAGGCTACCCCCAGGGGCATCCAAGGAAAATGGATATGTAGTCCTTACCTACTGGAGCACCTGTTCTGATGAGGGAGACCTACAGCCCAGTCTGAGGGCTGAGACCTGTAAACACCAAAAAGACATAACAGAGAATAAAACAAGGGCCGTGGATGCAGAGCAGACACAAATCTGTGCTTTCTTCAAGGGCAATTCCTTTACACCCCAAACCCTATGCCCTGCCCCTAACTTCCTGACCCACACTGCCCTAGTACCTACCCCTTCTCAGGTCCCCAAAGGACTGCGCCATTTTCTGCCCAGGTGTGTTGAAGAGTCTTGGGCTGTGGAGTCAAATGGACCTGTTCCTGGGCCCTGCCTCTGCCCAGTTCCACCTGTGCAACCAGGAATGAATACGTCAGGGCGTAGGCTGGGCTCACAAACAATGGCTGTCAATCCCGTTCATGGCCTCTGTCTCCTTCCTCCCTCTTAGCCTTGCCCCAGATCTCAACACCCCCAGAGGTCCGTGTGCCTGCTGGTTCTGCAGCCGCCTTCCCCTGCATGGCCTCTGGCTACCCTACTCCTGACATCAGCTGGAGCAAGGTAAAGGCCTGGCAGGGGACCAGTGGGCATGCCTGAGGGTCCGTGACCAGGTCTTCACCATCTCAGTGTCCCCAGGATCTGGCCCAGGCCTGGCACAGAGTGCTCAGGGTTTGAGGATGGGCCTGAGGCAGACATGGGAGACGGGCCCTATGGAGGTGCAGGCTAAGGCCAGGCAGGGTCCAACGTGTGGGTGTGTTTGCAGCTGGATGGGAACCTGCCACCCGGCAGCCGCGTGGAGAACAACATGCTACTGCTGCCCTCAGTTCAACCCCAGGACGCAGGCACCTACGTCTGCACTGCCACTAACCGCCAGGGCAAGGTCAAAGCCTTCGCCGACCTGCAGGTACCAGGTAAGACAGTACCCCCGGGATAGCAGGGCCCTGCCCACTGCCTGGTGGGCATCGTCTCTAACTCTGCTCTCTGCCAACAGAGCGGGTGGTGCCCTACTTCACGCAGACCCCCCACTCCTTCCTGCCACTGCCCACCATCAAGGATGCCTACAGAAAGTTTGAGATCAAGATCACCTTCCGGCCTGACTCAGCTGATGGTGAGCAGGAGAGAAGCTGATTTGGGGGGGCCTGGTGTCACTGCCGTCATGTTATGAGCCCTGGTAGCCCCCAGTCCTCCTCACCTCCCTCAGCCCTCTGCTGTCCTGGCGTCCCCAGGCCTGCCGGGCCTCCCCTCTGGGCCCTCTCTCACGCCTCCTCTCTTCTCCATCCCCACCTCCATGACATCTCTCATCTAAGTCTCCCCATGGTCCCTCTGCCATCAGTGCATCGACACCCAGCCCTCCTGTCCCACCTTCCTATTCTTATCTCTGCTCCGTCTTCCCTCCTTCTCCCATCTCTCACCCTTTCCTCCTCTCTTCTCTCTCATCTGTCTCCTCCCACCTCTTGCGGGTCTCTGACTTTCACTGTCCAGGCCTCCTCCTCTACTCGGGTGAGTTCTGCCTCCATCACCTCGTTCAGGTAGACCCTACAGTGTGAGTGAAGCCAATTCAGTGTCTGCCTAGGAGCCGTCAGCAAGGCCTTCTGTTAGGGCACATCCTGAGGTAGTGGGGAGGCTCTGGCTGTGCGGGGTGTCCCAGGGGAGGGACAGCTGTTAGAGTGGAGGGCTCGCAAGCGTGGGTGGTTCATTCTTGGGCTGGGCAGACAGGGAGCCGGTAACTGGCTGGGAAGCCCTTACATACCTGCCCCCCCCCCCCCCCAGGGATGCTGCTGTACAATGGGCAGAAACGGATCCCAGGCAGCCCCTCCAACTTGGCCAACAGGCTGCCCGACTTCATCTCCTTCGGCCTCGTGGGTGGGAGGCCTGAGTTCCGGTGAGACCCTCCCCCTCCCCATTTACGGGGGGGGGGGTGCTAGGGACTAGACTTTAGGGCTTTAGTCAGACATACACGCCCTGGGCTGAGTTATACATGGAGGTTCTGGATGAAGGAGATGCGGCTGTTACCCTCGGCGACCACCCGATCTGCTGGAGTAGGCACAGCATGCCCCCAGGTGGAGGAGGAAGCAGCCTGAGACTTGCACAGAAATACTCAGTGATGCTAAGTGCATCCTTAGGAGCTGGCACTGCTGCAGTCCAGGATTCATTCATTCATTCATTCATTCATTCGTTCGTTCATTCAACAGTTACTTGTTGAGCACCTGCTATGTGCCGGGCACTTGTGGGAATGTAGAGTCTAGTTGGGGAAGACCAGCCGTAAACAAAGATGGGAAGAAACAAGGTGATCTCAGAGGAACAGTGAGGCCAGGTGCTAGGCTACGGGGCCTCAGAACTGGGCAACTAGAACCCTGGGGGCTACTCTGGATAAGTTCCCAAGGCAGGGGTGTGGGGGAAGAGAAGAGCTAGCGAAGGCACAGGGATGGGGCAAGCTGGAAGTGGGTAATGGGGTGGGCCACAAGGCAGGGACAGGAATTGGAGCAGGACTGCGGGAAATGGTGATATCACCTTTGCCCAGGCTGCGCCCCCTGCCCAGCCCTTCTTACCAACCAGACATCCTCCCTCTCTTGCCCTGCCCCTGCCCCATGGAGTAGGTTTGACGCCGGCTCAGGCATGGCCACCATCCGCCACCCCACACCGCTGGTGCTGGGCCGGTTCCATACCGTGACTCTGCTGCGCAGCCTCACCCAGGGCTCCCTGATTGTAGGCAGCCTGGCCCCAGTCAACGGGACCTCCCAGGTGAGACCCAGCCCATCCCCGTATTCCCAGCCCCAGCCCCACCTCCACCCAGCCTGCTGCCATTCCTGACCTTCCCACTCCCCAGGGCAAGTTCCAGGGCCTGGATCTGAATGAGGAGCTCTACCTGGGCGGCTACCCTGACTATGGCGCCATCCCCAAAGCGGGGCTGAGCAGCGGCTTCATAGGTGAGCTCCCTCCCCATCTCCCGCCCTGCCCAAGCCTTTCCAACGCCCCTCAGAGCCTGGGAGGGCCCTGCGAAGTGTGGTTGGGATGAGCATCACCACCTTTGTTCATCCACCTGCCCACCCCCCCAGGCTGTGTCCGGGAGTTACAAATCCAGGGTGAGGAGATTGTCTTCCATGACCTCAACCTCACAGCGCATGGCATCTCCCACTGCCCCACCTGTCGGGACCAGCCTTGCCAGGTAACCCCACACCTCACATGCCATTTGGCTGCCCCTGGCCACTGCCCTCAGCTGTGGCAGAGCCCTGTGGGGAGCGGGAGGGCCAATATTCTTGGCCTGATGTTTTGGGGTGCCTTACAGAATGGGGGCTGGTGCCAGGACTCAGAGAGCAGCAGCTACCTGTGCATCTGCCCAGCTGGCTTCACCGGGAGCCGCTGTGAGCACTCCCAGGCCCTGCACTGCCACCCAGGTGCGGACCCCCCCCCCCCCCCCCGATCACTGTCACCCTGGGGAACTTGCCTGTACCCCAGCTGCTACATGTACTTACCACACGCTGTCACTCTTACCCAAGTACTTACCACTCCTCCTAGATACTGACCTCTATCACTGCCACCTAACACTCCCCTGCCTCCCATCTCTGCTACCCAAGTACCTACCCCCATTATGATGCCCAGGTACTCACCTCTCTCCCACCCGTGCAACCCAGGTAATTACCACCTTCCCATCCATTACCAAGGCACTCGCCCCATTAGCTGCCCCCATACCATTGTCCACGTACAGTCTTTCAAGAACACCACAGACAGAGTCCTCATTCACTTCCGGTCATGCGGTCCCGCTGCCCAGCCTCCTCTGGCCCTTGCTCTAATCCATTCCCCCTCCTTAGTCTGGCCAAGCCCTAGATAGCCGAGGCCCCTGGGATGCAATAGGTAGGGCTTTGGCATCAGGACTATACCCTCAATGTCTTCTTGTGGCCTGTGTGTCCCCCAGAGGCCTGTGGGCCCGACGCTACCTGTGTAAACAGGCCCGATGGCCGAGGCTACAACTGCCGCTGTCACCTGGGCCGCTCCGGGCCCAGGTGTGAGGAAGGTGAGTAGAGCCCAGCCTGAGACCCCCCAGGGATCCCAGTAAGGATGGGGGAAGCTGGGCAGGGGCCCTCTGAGGCCATGATGGGTCCTAGAATGGTAAGACGATGCCAGAGCCAGAGGGCCTCAAAGTCACCTGGGCTAGCTTCTGCCCAGTCCCAATCCCTTATGTGAGAGTCCGCAAAGGGACTTGCCCATCTTATTAGGGATCCTTCCAGCCTGGTCTGCATGTGGGTGGGCCAGGAGTTTCTGTGCAGCCACAGCTGTTGCCTCGCTGACCTCCAGCCTCTGGGACTAGAGAGTGAGGTGGGCAGGGATCCCAGAGTAAGGCTGAGGAATGGGACCCCTCCCGGGACTCTGGTGTCCCCACTGCCCCTGGCTGAGCTGTGGCTGCTGCAGGTGTAACCGTGACCACACCCTCCATGTCGGGCACTGGCTCCTATCTGGTGATGCCCGCCCTCACCAACATGCACCACGAGCTACGCCTGGACATTGAGTTCAAGCCACTGGCACCCAACGGAATCCTGCTGTTCAGCGGGGGCAAGCGCGAGCCTGTGGAGGACTTCGTGTCCCTGGCGATGGTTGGTGGCCACCTGGAGTTCCGCTACGAGTTGGGGTCAGGTGAGCACCGGACACCAAGTGCAGATGGGCTCTAGGGGCCACGCTCTGTGCCCCCTTGGCTGCCTGTGCCCTGAGAAGGCTCAGAGGAATGAATTCAGAAGTCAGACCAATTGGAGTTCCCTGCTCCTTCACATTCCTTCTGTGTGTGTGACTTCAAGTCCCTAGACCTCTCAGGTTCCTGTGGAACACCAGGAGGGTGACGGGAGTTCCCTGTCCCTGTGTGGGGTGGCCAGGGCAGGGCAGGGGGCCGTCCGTGTGTCAGCCCTCCCGGCATCCTCCCTAGGGCTGGCTGTTCTGAGGAGTCCAGAGCCACTGGCCCTGGGCCGCTGGCACCGTGTGTCTGCCGAGCGCCTCAACAAGGACGGCAGCCTGCGGGTGGACGGCGGACGCCCCGTGCTGCGCTCCTCCCCGGGCAAGAGCCAAGGCCTCAACCTGCACACCCTCCTCTACCTCGGTGGCGTGGAGCCCTCGGTGCAGCTGTCCCCTGCCACCAACATTAGCACTCCCTTCCGTGGCTGCCTGGGTGAGGTGAGGAGCAGCTTCCAGAGGACAAGGAGGGGAGGGGTGCAAACCAGACTCCCCCACCTGCAGCTAGCTAAGGCCCTTGGGACCAGAAGCTTCACCTGTGAGCCTCAGTTTCCTCCTCTGTAAAATGGGGTAATTACACCTCATTTGAAGGGTTGTTCTGAGGATTGACTGTACTGATGGAGGTTGATGGTACACAGTAGGTGCTCCTGTTTCTCCCTTTCCTACCCGACAGTCCCCTGTTCCAGCTACCTCTCTACTGCATTCTCTCTGCTGGTACGCCAATGCCCCACCTCCTGTGTGGCCCGAGTCCTTCAGTGTCCCTATGCCCACAGGTGTCAGTGAATGGAAAGCGGCTAGACCTCACCTATAGCTTCCTGGGCAGCCGGGGCATCGGGCAGTGCTATGACAGCTCCCCGTGTGAGCGCCAGCCTTGCCAGAACGGCGCCACGTGCTTTCCTGCTGGCGAGTTTGAGTTTCAGTGTCTGTGTCGAGATGGCTTCAAAGGTGTGTGAGCTGCCCAGGCCCTGGGAGAGGGAGGGGTGTGGGGTGGTCAGCAGCAACTCCAGCTCATGCCACTCACCTCTGCCATGACCCGCAGGAGACCTCTGCGAGCATGAGGAGAACCCCTGCCAGCTCCGTGAGCCCTGTCTGCATGGGGGCACCTGCCAGGGTACCCACTGCCTCTGTCCCCCTGGCTTCTCTGGCCCCCGCTGCCAACAAGGTAACTGCCCCAGCTTCTCTCCATCCCTTTTTGGAGCTCTGGGGCGGGACAGCGTCTGTGCCCACTGACGGGACCCTGCCTTTCTCCATAGGCTCTAGACATGGCACCGCGGAATCCGACTGGCATCTTGAAGGCAGTGGGGGCAACGGTACGTACTTTCCAGAGAAGCTGAGTGGACTTGTCTCCTAATTAGATTCGGGTCTCTCAGCTCCCTGTCCAGTTACCCCACACCTTTAATCCTGGCTCTAAACAGAACAGGTCCATGTGAGAGGCTCGCTGGGCACAAGTAAACTAAACAAGAGCAAAGAAAGCCACACAGAGCTGGGTCCTACCATCTTGAACATTCACAGGCACTGTGCTAGCTGCTTTATAGACATTATCTCTCTTATCACTACTGAGATAGGTGGTGGTGTCGTGGGTCAGAGCGTAGACTCTGAAGCCAGCCTGCCTGGCTGTGTGACTTTGTGTTTCCTCATGTGTACAATGGAGAGAAGTAACATCCTTCCACAAGGCTTGGGATAAAATATTGTGTGAGAGTGAAATTACTGAAAGTCTTTAAAATGCTTAGAACAACACCTGGTACCTGGTGGATATATGATGTTAGCTTTTATGAATATCATATGTAAGTCATGGGATTATTATAAGGATCCAGTTCAAGGAAATTATGTTTACAGCTGGATGTGAAACTCCCTGCACAGTGATTGGCACATAATAGGTGCTCAGTAAATGTTAGCTGTTCTCATCATTTGGTGGAGGGTGGCCAAGTATCCCCAACCCTTGCAGCTGCCAGGCCCACAGGGGCCAGCACTGGCCTGTGGGATGGGTCTGAGCAGGTAGGGCTGGGATGTTGGAGGTGCGCACAGTATGGATGTTAGAGCCAAAAGGTCCAGGTTACCATCCAGACTTCCTACTTCCTGGGCAAGTTACTCACCCCTGAGCCTGGCCCATCTGGGAGATGGAAGGAACACAAAGGTTCTGGATCTTTCAGGTGCCATGGACTTAGGTGACCAACTGTCCCAGTTTCCTGAGGGCTGAGGGGTTTCTTGAGCTGTGGGACTTTCAGAGCTAAAACCAGGAAAAGGACTTAGCAACTAGGGATGGACCTATTGACTATTTAAAAAAAAAAATGCAGCCAGGCTGGCGTGGCTCAGTGGTTGTGCATCAACCTATGAACCAGGGGGTCACGGTTTTATTCCCAGTCAGGGCGCATGCCTGGGGTGGGGGTTCAATCCCCGATAGTGTATGTACAGGAGGCAGCTGGTCAGTGATTCTCTTCCATCATTGACGTTTCCCTCTCTCCCCCTCTCCCTTCCTCTCTGAAATCAATAAAAATGTATTAAAATCAACAATCACAAAAATAGGAAACCAATTACACTGAAATAAGATGATCAAAATGTTTTAATTTTTCTCAACTGTAACCTATGTGCTGCTTCATCAACACATTAAATAAGATCTCGTGCTGGTCCTAACAGCTGACACAGTTCAATAAGCGTACACAGTGTTCTGAGATATTTGCACCGACTGCAATTCGAAAAGCAATCTATTGGTGAGGAAGTCACAGGCCCTCCTGCTGCTCCTCTCCTTTGTTGCCTGCGGGCAGAACTAGAGAAACGGCTAAATCCAGTGAGAACACAGGGAACTAGAACCCTAGTGTTTTCTATCCAAGTCCACAGCCCCCTGGGTGTCCAGGGCCTGCAGGTTCAGGGCCCCCTGGTCCTACATGACGGGCTGGAGGTGGGGTCAGAGGACCCGATGGGGTGGACACTCGGAGCAGGTGAGCAGCTGTCCCATAGCCCTTTCTCCCCAGATGCCCCAGGACAGTACGGAGCCTATTTCGACGACGGTGGCTTCCTAGCCCTCCCCAGCTATGTCTTCCCCAGGAGGTGAGATGGGGGTTGGGAGAGCCTGTGACCCGGGGAGGGCAGTGGGAACCTGGGACTTCCGCCCCCTCACCTGTCCACCTACCCCCCCAGCCTGCCCAGGGTGCCTGAGACCATCCAGCTGGAAGTTCGGACCAGCACAGCCAGCGGCCTCCTCCTCTGGCAGGGCATGGTGAGTGTGGGCATCTGGCAGGGCAGTGGGAAAGAAAAAGGCGGAGGCCACACCGTCAGGGGCCTCAGCTCTCCAGGCTGGGGACCCCAGACACCCTGTGCTTCCCTGGCAGGAGATGGGAGAGGCCAGCCAAGGGAAGGACTTCATCAGTCTCGGGCTTCAGGATGGGCACCTTGTCTTCAGGTGGGTTCTCTCCCTTCCCTGGCGCCTCCCCCTCCCCCCGCCCTCCCCATAGCTTCCCGTCTGCTCAGCTCACGGCTCTTCCCACAAGGAGCTGCAGCTCCCAGTGTCACCCCCACCCTCCCACACCCCCTCCTGTCCTGCCCACCTCACCCCTCCCTGGGCCTGTGTGACCACAGCTACCAGCTGGGCAGCGGGGAGGCCCGCCTTGTCTCTGAGGACCCCATCAATGACGGCGAGTGGCATCGGGTGACGGCGCTGCGGTAAGGGAGCCCCCCCGACACTGGGGAAGGGGCCCACCACGCTTCGGAGGCAGGCGGTGGGCTCCGGGGAGACAGCTTGAAGCACAGACTTCAGGGCAGGGCATGGGGGGGAAGCACCTACGGGTGGGTGAAACCTGGTGGGTGCTAGGAAGCTGGGGGTGCAGGTCTCTTATCTGGGGGGAGGGAAGGACTCTGGGTGAAGACTTCTCGAGTGTGTGGAAATGGGAGGGGCTCTTTGGGTCAGGAAGCTCGGAGGCCTGACCCAGTCCCGCCCCCACAGAGAGGGCCGGAGGGGCTCCATCCAGGTGGACGGTGAGGAGCTGGTCAGCGGCCAGTCCCCAGGCCCGAATGTGGCCGTCAACACCAAGGGCAACATCTATGTCGGTGAGTCCTGGGCTGGGGCCTCGGTGCCAGAAGGGCGCCTGCAGATTCCAGCACACGCCCCCCTCTCCTCTGGGGCCCCTGGAGCTGACAGGTCCTGTCCTCTCCCCCCACAGGCGGAGCCCCCAACGTGGCCACACTGACCGGGGGCAGGTTCTCCTCAGGCATCATGGGCTGTCTCAGGAACCTGGTGCTGCACTCGGCTGGGCCGGGCGCCCCGCCCCCACAGCCCCTGGACCTGCAGCACAATGCCCAGGAGGGGGCCAGCACGCGGCCCTGCCCCTCATAGGCAGCTGCCTGCCCACAAGGACTCCTGGGCAGTGCCCCAGCCCCACATCGTCGAGTCTATTATTATTAATATTATTATTATGAATATTTTGTAAGAAACGGAGGCGATGCCACGCTTTGCTGCTACCGCCCTGGGCTGGACTGGAGGGTGGGCATGCCACCCCCCCACCCAAACACACCTGGGCAAAGCCGCAGGCTGGGGAACAGGGCAGGCTGGCTGGGAGCAGGTGCCTCAGAGGGACAGGCATGGTGGCTGAGTGGCCTCAGAAGTGCCCCCACGGCAGAGCCAGGCCACCCGTGTCTGCAGCCCTTGTCCCTACAAGAGCCAACCATGGCGTACAGCCTGGGTCCTCCCCAGCCACTAGGAGCAGAGGGCGTCGCAATGGCCTTTGCCACCCTCCTCTGGGTAGCAAAAGCTCTTTAGTGCCAACTGTGGAGCAAAAGGCAGCTCACCCCTGGACAGGCAGCCCCCACCCCGTTAGCCCATGTCCCCGCCCCCCTCCACCTTCACCTCTGCCTGACCAGCTGGTCTGCATCCCCCCCACCCAACACCTAGCCCAGGGCCCCCGCCCTCAGGGGCTACAGGGAAACTCCACCCCAGCTCCTACCAGGAGCTGCTGCAGCCCGAGCCCAGCACTGAGAGGGCCACATCCCCCCACTGATCTGGAAGTGAAGGCCCAAGGGATATGGGGGGAGGAGGGTGTTGGTTGGAAAGAGCGAGTGCCTTGGGTGGGGGAAGCCAGGACTCATGACGGAGCGACAGGAAGGGGCCATGGCACCCCTGCCCCATCTGTGGGAACCTGAGGGCCCAGCTGGGGACAAGCGCCCGCCCCACCAGTAGCTCCCCAGATGTTGGGTCAGGACGCCTGGCCTCTGTCCAGAAGGGCCCTCCTGTGGTCTTTGTCTTGATCTTTCTTAATAAACGGTGCTATCCCCGCCAGGGCGGTCCCCTGTGTCGTTGACTAGGGCTTCACTTGTGAAACTTGAGGGTGCACCAGAGCAGGGCAGGTGAGGCCTGGGGGTGAGTCCGGGAAGCTTCAGGTGAGCGAGGCCCCTGCTCCCTGCCCTGGGCACGGAGGTCCTGCCCTTCACGGATCCAGCAGAGTGCCAGCCACCACACGAGCTATGGGGCCGGTCACCTCCTGTGGCCTTCCCCACAATCCTGGGAGGCAGGGATCATCCCGTTTTCCAGAGGAGCAGACTGAGTCTCAGAGGGTTACGTGACCTGCCCAAGGTCAGACAGTCCTCGGGGGGGTGGGGACAGACCCAGGGTCTGTCCGACCCCAGAGCCCACTGTCCGTCCTCTGAAGCCGCAGCCTCTCTATGCATGGCCTCCCTGACCCTGGAAGGCTGTCCTACTCGGCCGCAGTCCACCAGGGGCCACCTGGCCAGGACCTGTGAGACAGATGGTGCAGCTAAAGCAGAGGCCACGGGCACCAGCCCTCCGGGCCAGCTGGCTGGAGGAGCAGCAGCACCAGAGGAGGCCAGCGGAGGCCAGGAGCAGCGAGGAGGCCAGCGCCACCTTCTGTAGCCGGGGACCTGCAGGAGGAAAGGGAGAGTCCACTCAGGTCTCAGCCTGGCCTGCTCCCCCGGTTCCCTACACCTGGAGGAGTGGGGGCAGGTGGTAACAAGACCATCTTCCTTCCGCAGCTGCCTCCTGTTGTGCAGGGCCCCGGCCCGCTGGGGGACTGCTCCCAGCTGCACTCTGGAGGGGGCCTGCTGACCCGAGAGCTGGGGAGACAGTGGGGGCCTGGAGGTGTCAGCCTCTGTACTCCCCTCCTGGCTGGGCATCAGAGAGGGACCTGAGTGGGAAATAACAGAGCTAACACAGAACTGGGCTCCTAAGGCATGGCTATGTCTCCTTTAGTCCTTTCCAAGCCTGTCTGCTACAATTAGTGTTTCCATTGTAAGCCAGTAGATCAAGGAAGGGCGGCTAAGTCATTTGCCAGGTCACACAGCTGGAGTGATAGGGGCGGACTCGAACTCATGCAGTCCAGCCCCAGGGCCTGGAGTTTATGAATGGAGCTACTTCTAGGAAGGAGGATGTGCACACATTCAGTGTTCTCTGTGCACCCAACACCGTGCTCAGTGCCAGGCCCTTTACCTATGGCGTTTCACTTAAAGTTTGTAACAACTCTGAAAAGTGAGGTTTATCACCCCATTTCACAGATAAGGAAGCGGAGGCATGGAGGTTCATTCCTCTCATTTGACTCATGTTTCTCGAGCATCTCCTACTATGCCCTAGGGACTGGGGATACAACAGTGAGCAAAACGGACAAAAATGTCTTCATGGAACTGGCAGTCAGTGTGAGAAGACACAAAGGAAATTATGTCAAATGGAGATAAAATTAAGCAGGGAAAAGGGACAGGCATGTTGGCTCGGAGCAGGGCTGCTTTTTTTAAAGTTGTGATGTATACCACAATAAACCATTAACCGTTTGTAAGTGTACCGTGGAGTGGTGTTAAGCACATTCACATTGCTGTGCAGCCATCACCATCATCCATCTCCAGAGCTCTTCATCTTGCAAAACTAAGACTCTGTCCCCATTAGATACTAATTCCCCATTCTCTTCCTCACCCCCGCCCCCCCGCCCTTGGCAACCACCACTCTACTTTCAGTCTCTGAATTTGACTACTCTAGGTGTCTCATAGAAGTGGAATCATACAGCATTTATCCTTTTCTGTTTAGCCTATTTCAATGAGCAGAGTGTCTTCAAGGTTTCAGACATGTTGAAATTTCCTTTTTAGGGCTGAATAATATCCCATTGTGTGACCACATCACATTTTGTTTATCCATTCACCTGTCCGTGGACACAGCGTTGCTTTTTTTAAAATTAAGGGGTCAGGAGAGAGCTCATTAAGAGTGAGGGTTAAGAAGAGACCCGTAGCCTTAGCTGGTTTGGCTCAGTGGATAGAGCGTCGGCCTGCGGACTCAAGGATCCCAGGTTCGATTCCGGTCAAGGGCATGTACCTGGGTTGCGGGCACAACCCCAGTAGGGGGCGTGCAAGAGGCAGCTGAATGGATGTTTCTCTCTCATTGATGTTTCTAACTTGATATCCCTCTCCCTCTCCCTCTCCCTTCCTCTCTGCAAAAAAAAAAAAAAAAAAAAAAAAAAAAAAAACCCGTAGCCCTAGCTGGTTTGGCTCAGTGGATAGAGCGATGGCCTGCAGACTGAAGGGTCCCGGATTTGATTCCAGTCAAGGGCACATGCCTGGATTGTGGGCTTGATTCCCAATGTAGGGCATGCAGGAGGCAGCCGATCAATGATTCTGTCATCGCTGATGTTTCTATCTCTCTCCCTTCTCTCTGAAATCAATAAAGAAATATATATACTTAAAAAAGAGTCACACAACAGCTGTGGATCAGGAGTTCAGTTTTGGGCCAAGTTAAGTTTGAGATGCCACCTACACACCCACATGGAGATGAGCAGGGAGGTGGTTATATAACTAGAGTTCAAAGACATTCCAGCTGGTATGCGTTCTGAAGGAGACCACTGAGGGAATGAGTGTGGAGGATGGAAGAGGAGCGGATGTAGGGACTGGGCCTGATGGCACAAAGCACAGAGCGACAGGGAGGTGGCGAGGAACCTGCCAAGGGGACTGAGGAGGGAATGTGCGGGGACCCGGGAAGCTGGATTCCACTCCGCCAGCTGCTTTTTTGTAGTAAACCTGTTCAGCTGTGTATGCCAGCCCTGTTGGGGGCAAGAGCACCTCCAGATTCTCAGAAGGATACTCCTGAGTGACCTGGTCTCCCTGGACTCAGGGGTCATTCCTGGTTATGTCATCACTGTGACTTGGAGCCGTTGAGTCATTTCTCCTCCCTAGGCCCGTTTCCCCATCTGTGAAATGTGTGTTAGACTGGATCAGTGGTTTTCAGAGTAAGTCTTTTTTTTTTTTTAATATATTTTATTGATTTTTTACAGTGAGGAAGGGAGAGGGATAGAGAGTTAGAAACATCGATGAGAGAGAAACATTGATCAGCTGCCTCCTGCACACCTCCCCACTGGGGATGTGCCCGTAACCAAGGTACATGCCCTTGACCGGAATTGAACCAGGGACCCTTCGGTCCGCAGGCCGACGCTCTATCCACTGAGCCAAACTGGTCAGGGCCAGAGTTAAGTCTTGAAAATAAAAAAAAGAAAAGAAAAGAAAAAAGAGCCCTAACCGGTTTGGCTCAGTGGATAGAGCGTCGGCCGGTAGACTGAAGGGTCCTGGGTTCGGTTCCAGTCAAGGGCACATGGCTGGGTGCGGGCTCGGTCCCCAGTGTGGGGTGTGCAGGAAGCAGCCAAAATGGATGATGTTTCTCTCTCATTGATGTTTCTATCTCTCCCTCTCGGTCCCTCTCTGAAATCAATAAAAAATTTAAAAAAGAAAGAAAGAAAAAAAGTAAGTCTTGAGAGTCAAAGCCAGGTTCCTCACTGGGACACGGGGCCCGTCCTGTCCACTCAAACAGAGCATCTCTCCTTTAATGTCTTGGGCCTCTGGGCTTCTTTAGGAAGAGCTTCCAGCACTAAAATATCATTTGAGCCCGGCCGGTGTGGCTCAGTGGTTGAGCATCGACCTATGAACCAGGAGGTCACGGTTCAATTCCTGGTCAGGGCACATGCCCGGGTTTCGGGCTCCATCCCCATGAGGGGATGTGCAGGAGGCAGCCAGTCAATGATTCTCTTTCATCACTGACATTTCTATCTCTCCCTCTCTCCCTTCCTCTCTGAAGTCAATTTAAAAAAATTTTTTTTCTTTAAAAAATATTTGAAAGCAGCTGGATTAGATAATCTCTCATGTCATTCTGGCTCTAACTTGCTGTGATCCTCAGGTACTCTGTGGGCTGTGTGCACAGTTTTTCTAAAGCGATTCCCCACTACTGTGCTTCCCCTTATTCTCTTCTGCCATGCCCCCGCCTCCGGCCTCCCCACCGAGGCCCTGCCCTGGGGAAGGGGAGCTGGGCCCCAGCTTCCCTCCTAGCTGCTCAGCAGGGCCCAGGCTGCACCCCGTCACTGACCTCTGCAGTTGGCTGGTGGTCAGGAAGCCTGGTCACTGCTGTCGCCACAGTTATCCATGCCCCAGAGATCGCACACCAGACTCAGGGGGATGCATGTTATGAGGAACGTGGGCCAGCCCATAGCAAGCAGGATGGGTGGTCCTATAGTGAGAGAATGTGGGAGGTGAGAGGAGGCTGGTTCCATGTGCATGCAGACTCGAGAGTCCTAACTAGGCCCCTCTGCTGATAGAGGAGAGGCGTGTGAACATGAGTGTGAGTTGTGTGGAAGTGTGCAAGGTGGTACTGTGAGTGTATGAGGTGTGTGATGTGAATTCCATGTGTATGAGATGTGAGTTGTGTACATGTACAGTGTGAGTGAGTGGGTGTGAGTGTGTGGGAGCGTGTGTGTCTGGTATGGGCAGCCATGGAAGCCAGATTTATGGGGAAAGCTCTTTGAGTCTGGAATGTCCCTTACCGTGATCACGCCCAATGCCACCACCACTCACCACCTCCTTCCCTCTCTTAGGACGCAATCCCCTCCATCTTCTAGTGCTCCCAGTGCCCTATTGGTAGCCCAGGGCCGCAGTTACCCTAGCTTGGAGGCCCCGTCCTGGCCAACAGCCCTAACCCACCCAAAAGGAAAGAGGTGACTTCTCCCACGAAGTCCACGCAGGGCTGGTGACCTCTGGTGACCAGGCGCAGGGCGAGGAACTCCCCCGTGGACCTCACCCGGCCCAGGATGGTCAGGGCCTTTGCACTCCCAGCTCCCTCCACCTGGGGTGCTCTTGCTCTATAGCTTTCCATGGCTGGCTTCTCTGGGTCATTCAGGTCTCAGGTCACATGTCACCTCCTCAGACCACACTTCTCAATCTGAATTAGCACTCTCCCTCCTGTCACTCAATCACATCTCCCCAAATTTATTCCATCAGCACTCACTGGAATTATTTTGCTTATTTTTATCTTGTGTGTATTGCCTGTTGGCCCCCACTAAAATTGCTTTCCATAACTGTCTTGTTTTTTGTGTGTTTTTTTTTAAACATATTTTATTGATTTTCCACAGAGAGGAAGAGAAAGGGATAGAGAGTTAGAAACATCGATGAGAGAGAAACATCGGTCAGCTGCTTCCTGCACACCTCCTACTGGGGATGTGCCCGCAACCAAGGTATATGCCCTTGACCGGAATCAAACCTGGGACCCTTCAGTCCACAGGCCGACGCTCTATCCACTGAGCCAAACCGGCTAGGGCTATAACTGTCTTGTTGATCTATGAACCCCTAGAGAAACTGGACAACCAAGGGGTCCGGGCTGCCTGTCACTACTTGAGCCAATTAAGCAGAGACAGGGTTGAGTCATATATGAGCATTTATTCCAATACTGCTGGCAACCGGGAGAGCAGCAGGCCATCCACAAAATCTGCCCTGCAACCCCCAATAAACCAGCTGCTTATATGGGGTAGGGCAAAGGGAATAAGCATGGATATGCATTGCAAATATGTTCTCCCATGAAGCAGGCGCTCTTTTCACTTTGTTGCTGGTTTCTTTTGCTGGGCAGAAGCTTTTTATTTTGATGTAGTCCCATTGGTTTATTTTCTCTTTAGTTTCCTTTGCCCTAGGACTGTGGTCGGCAAACTGCAGCTTGCGAGCCACATGCGGCTCTTTGGCCCCTCGAGTGTGGCTCTTCCACAAAATACCACGTGCGGGCGCTCACGTACAGTGCGATTGAAACTTCGTGGCCCATGCGCAGAAGTCGGTATTTTGTGGAGGAGCCACACTCAAGGGGCCAAAGAGCCGCACGTGGCTCGCGAGCCGCAGTTTGCCGAGCCGCAGTTTGCCGACCACTGCCCTAGGAGCTGTATCAGTAAATATATTGCTATATATTTGAGATGTTTGAGATTGTGCTGCCTATGGTTTCTTCTAAGATTTTTATGGTTTCACAACTTACTTTAGGTCTTTTATCTATTTTGAGTTTATTCTTGTGTATGGTAGAAGTTGGTGGTCTAGTTTCATTTTTTTGCATGCACCTTTCTAATTTTCCCAACACCATTTATTTGAAGAGACTGTCTTTACTCCATTGCAGCTCTAGCCTTCTTTGTCAGATATTGAGCATAATGGTTTGGGTCAATTTCTGGGGCCTCTATTCTGTTCCACTGATCTACATGCCTGTTCTTGTGCCAGTACCAAGCTGTTTAGTGTATAGTGCAGGGGTGGGCAAACTTTTTGACTCGAGGGCCACAATGGGTTCTTAAACTGGACCGGAGGGCCGGAACCAAAGCATGGATGGAGTGTTTGTGTGAACTAATATAAATTCAAAGTAAACATCATTACATAAAAGGGTACGGTCTTTTTTTTCAATAGTTTTATTCATTTCAAACAGGCCGGATCCAGCCCGAGGTCCGTAGTTTGCCCACGGCTGGTATAGTGGCTTTGTAGTATTACTTGATATCTGGTATTGTGATTCCTCCAACTTTGTTCTTTCTCAAGATTGCTGCAGCTATTAGAGGTCTTTTTTGGTTTCATATAAATTTTTGGAGTGTTTGTTCTAGATCTGTGAAATATGTCATTGGTATTTTAGTCAGGATTACATTGAATCTATTATATGGGGTAGGACGATGATATGGGGTTTGCCAATGATACAATCTATGCATCATTTTCCAATGATACATCTGATAAGGGATTAACTTCCAAGATATATAAGGAGCTCATACAACTTAACAAAAGAAAGACAATTATCCCAATGAAAAAATGGGCAAAGAGCCTGACTGATGTGCATGGCTCCGTGGTTGAGCATAGACCTATGAACCAGGAGGTCAGGGTTCGATTCCCAGTCAGGGCACATGCCTGGGGTGTGGGCTTAATCCCGTATGGGGCGTGCAGGAGGCAGTTGATCAATGATTCTCTCATCTTTGGTTTTCTATCTCTCCATCTCCCTTCCTCTCTGAAATCAATAAAAATATATTTAAAAAAAAGAAAGAAAAAGAAAGAAGGAACTCTTACCATTTGCAACAGCATGAATGGACCTGGAGAGTATTATGCTAAGGGAAATAAGCCAGTCAAAGAAAGGCAAGTATCACATGATCTCATTCATATGTGGAATCTAATGAACAAATTAAACTGATGAACAAAATAGATCCAGAGACATAGAACAATGGAACAGACAGAGGAATTTCAAAGGGGAGGTGGGGATGGGGAGGCAAGTGGGGGAAGATTAACTGGGAAATTTATCTGCAGAGCCCAAGGACACAGACAATAGTGTGGTGAGGCCTGGGAGGGGCCGGTGCTGGGTGGAGGGGGTCAATGGGGAAACAACAACAAAAAACCCGAAGGGGACATCTGTAATTCTATCAACAATAAAGATAAGTTAAAAAATAAAAGAATGAGCCCTAACCGGTTTGGCTCAGTGGATAGAGCGTTGGCCTGCGGACTGAAAGGTCCCAGGTTGGATTCCGGTCAAGGGCATGCACCTTGGTTGCGGGCACATCCCCAGTAGGGGGTATGCAGGAGGCAGCTGATCGATATTTCTCTCTCATTGATATTTCTAACTCTCTGTCCCTCTCCTTTCCTCTCTGTAAAAAATCAATAAAATATATTTGAAAAAAAATAAAAATAAAAGAATGAGCCCTAACCGGTTTGGCTCAGTGGATAGAGCATTGGCCTGCAGACTGAAGGGTCCCAGGTTCCGGTCAAGGGCATGTACCTTGATTGTGGGCACATCCCCAGTGGGGGGTGTGAAGGAGGCAGCTAGTCGATGTTTCTCTCTCATCGATGTTTCTCATCGATGTTTCTAACTCTCTATCCCTCTCCCTTCTTCACTGTAAAAAATCAAAATACATGGGAAAAAAAATAAAAGAATGAGGCTCTGGCTGGGTAGTTCAGTTGGTTAGAGTATTGTCGTGATAGGCCAAGGTTTCAGGTTCAATTCCTGGTCAGGGCACATACAAGAAGCAACCAATGAATGCATACATAAGTGAAATAACAAAGCATTAGCTCTCTCTCTCTCTCTAAAATTAATCAATAAATAAAATAAAGATGTATGGACAGCATTTAAAAAAATAAATAAATAAAAGAATGGGTATTACAGGCCTGGGGAAGTAGGCAAAAGGAATAAAAATGGGTATAATGATTACAGATTATAGGCAATTTGGGCTGGGACTAGACTCTATTATTCAGGTAATAGGGTTGTTAATCTTTCTATGATAATAGGCAGTTCTTGAATGAGAATGGACCACATTCCAAGGTTGACTCCCAAGGGCAAGTCAACTCCCAGGCCCCAGGGGCTAGGTTGACTCCCAGGTCCCAGGGCGTACAACTAACTCCCAGGCAGGTTAGAATGTGCTTTCTTTACTCAGAACAAAGCAATCACGGTTAACAGAGCATGCCCAGTGTCTGGCACAGAGCAGTTATCCAGTAAATAAGAATAAGTGTGTGGCCCTAGCCAGTTTGGCTTAGTGGATAGAGCTGTGACATTGTGATTTATAAGAAATATATATTTGGTCTTTCTCCATTCCTACCACAAAACTCCTAAAACCCTTGGAATTTCTGAAGCGATTAGAGAATTTGTAAAGAATTATAAATGTATTAGATCATCTGGAAATCAGATGGGCTCAGCCCCAAAATAGCACTAGCCAAAAGGTGTCTTTTGCTATTCATAGCAAACCCCTTTCATAAATATATTTTTAATTTCAGAGAGAGGGAGAGAAGCATCAATAATGAGAATCGTTGATCAGCCGCCTCCTGCACGCCCCTTACTGGGAAAGGAACATGCAACCTGGGCATGTGCCCCGGCCGGGAATTGAGCTGTGACCTCCTGGTTCACAGGTCAAACCTCACCCACTTAGCCACACTGGCCGGGCTCATAAGAAGCCCCTTTCAATCACAGTTTATGTTAATGGGTTGACTTCAGGAAAGCCCCTTAGGTAACCTGAGAATGTGGGAGCTGGTTGCTAGAAGAACCAACCATAGTTAGGGGACTGGAACCTTCAGGGAGGGGAGAGAAAGGGGCTGGAAACTGAGTCCAATCACCAATGGCCAATGATTGAATCAATTAAGCCTGTGTAATGAAACCCCAAAACCCAAAGGACAGGGTTCCGAGAGCTTCCTGGTTGGTAAGCTGTGGAGGTGCTGGGTGGGTGATGCCCCCAAAGAGGGTGTGGAAACTGTGTCCCTTCTCGCATGCCTTGCCCAATGCATCTCCTCCAACCGGCTGCTCCTGAGTTTGATCCTTTTATAATAAATTGATAATCAGTAGTAAAATGTTTCCGAGTTCTGTGAGCCACTCTAGCAAATTAATTTAACCCAAGTGTGTGGGGAGGGGTTGTGGGAACCTCCAAATTACAAGCAGTTGGTCAAAAGCACAAGTGAGAACCTGGACTTGCAACTGGTATCTGAAGGGTGTGTGCGCGCGCAGTCTTATTAGCCTGAATCCCTAACCTGTGTGATCTGATGCAGTCTCCAGGTAGGTAGTGCCTGAATTGAGTTAAATTGTAGGACACCCACGTGGTATCACAGAATTGCTTGATGAGTGGGAAACTCACAGAAGTGTAAGAGTGGAGTATTGAGAATACAGGAGACACATAGAATGAGCTTTTCCTTTACACCACCCTTTAGATGAGAAAACCAATAGAAGAGGAGGGGGTGGCCAAGAAGATTGCGGAGCAGCCACTGACGGAAGTGGAAAACCAGGAGGGACACTGCTCAGAAACGGGAAGGACACGTCAAGATAGCGAGAGAGGTCATCTGTGCTGGTGACTGCAGAGCTGAGGACAGAGAGGCCACTGGCTTTGGTGGTAGGGAAATCATGGGAACCTCCTTGATAAAAGCAGCTAGAGAGGAGTGCTAAGGTGACAGGCCAGATTGGAGTAGGTGGAACAGTGAATAGATGAGGAAGTCAACAGAGTATAGACCTGTACTGTCCTCTACTGTAGCTACTCACCATGTGGCTATTGAGCACTTGAATGTGGGGCGTCTGAATTGAGATGACCTGTAAGTGTAAAACACACACCGGATTTCCAAAGGGCGGTGTGAAAAAGAGAAGGTAGAATATTTCATTAACATAGTAAAAATACTGATTTCATATAGAAATGTAAACATTTGATAGATTGGGTTAAATTCAATATATTAAAAATTGAAATCATCCTCTACCTTCTAAACCTGCACCTTCTGTCATTTTTTTAAAATGTTTGGAAACGACTGTATTTAAAAAATATATATTTTTATTGATTTCAGAGAAGGGAGAGGGAGAAATAGAAACATCAATGATGAGAATCACTGATTGACTGCCTCCTGTACACCTCACACTGGGGATCGAGCCCACAACCCGGGCATGTGTCCTTGACCAGAATTGAACCCAGGACCCTTTAGTCCGCAGGCTGATGCTCTATCCACTCAGCCAAACCATCTAGGGCAGGGGTGGGCAAACTTTTTGACTCGAGGGCCACAATGGGTTCTTAAACTGGACTGGAGGGCCGGAACCAAAGCATGGATGGAGTGTTTGTGTGAACTAATATAAATTCAAAGTAAACATCATTACATAAAAGGGTACGGTCTTTTTTTTTTTTAGTTTTATTCATTTCAAACGGGCCGGATCCGGCGGGCCGTAGTTTGCCCACGGCTGATCTAAGGCCTTGCTGTAGTATCTACCTCACTTGGTATTGTTAATGGTATTGTTAAAAAACAAAATTCAATTGAGCTGATCTGAAGATCTAATTGTCATTAGAAAACCATTTATGAATCCGGCAGCCTCTCACCTAACAACTAGAGGGGAGCTCTGAACAGTTGCACAAAATGGTAGGTTTTACAGGGATACCTCAGAGAGAGTACAGGTTTGGTTCCAAGATTACCACAGTGGAGGTCCTTGCCTTCAATCTGTAAGAAAATTCAACCTTTGGGAAGTGGGATAAAGTGAAACACAATGGTAAACCAGCATAGGCAGAAAGAGGGTGGGACATGGAAGTTCAGTGGATTAATTCAGGCAACTAGGGGAAAGGTAGGGGGTTTGAACAGCTAATCCCCCTAGGGTTGACCAGCTAATTCCAGACTGATTGGTTTAATATTCCATTCCCAGCCCTGGCAGGTGTGGCCCATTTAATTCCCCCTAGGGGTGTATGCGGAAGGCAACTGATTGAAGTTTCTGTCACATCTCTCCCTCCCTCCCCCCCTTCTCTCTAAGATCAATTAAAAAAAAAAAATTCCATTCCTGGACGAGGCTGAAACTGCAAGTACAGACATATCTTGGAGATATTGAGGGTTCAGTTCCAGATCACTGCAATAAAGTTAGTTGTAATCTTTTTGCTGGAGGGTCTTGCCTTCAATTTATAAAAAATGCAACATCTGGGAAATGCAATAAAGCAAAGCTCACCCTAGCCCAGGGGCGGGCAAACTTTCTGACTCGAGGGCAACAATGGGTTCTTAAACTGGACCGGAGGGCCGGAACAAAAGCATGGATGGAGTGTTTGTGTGAACTAATATAAATTCAAAGTAAACATCATTACATAAAAGGGTACAGTCTTTTTTTTTTTTTAGTTTTATTCATTTAAAACGGGCGGATCCAGCCCTCGGGCTGTAGTTTGCCCACGGCTGCGGGCCTAGCCGGTTTGGCTCAGTCAGTAGAGCATCGGCCTGCGGACTAAAGGGTCCTGGGTTTGATTCTGATCAAGGGCACGTACCTTGGTTGCAGGCTCCTCCCCGGCAGCCTGGGGCCCTGGATGGGGGATCGTGCAGGAGGCAACCAATCTATGTGCTTCTTTCAGTCTTTCCCTCTCCCTTCTACTCTCCCAAAAAATCAATTAAAAAATATCCTTGGGTGAGGATAGCAACAAAAAAGGAAAGCGCAATAAAACAAGGTATGCCTGTGTTAAGTGCTGGTGGGGCTTACCAACGTGACTCCATCTTGGGTGTGTTGTTTCTTTTTCTTAAAAAAAAAAATACATTTTTATTGATTTCAGAGAGGAAGGGAGAGGGAGAGACAGAATCATTGATAGGCTGCCTCACCCCCCCGCCCAGGGACTGAGCCTGCAACCTGGGTATGTGCTCTGACTAGGAATTGAACCGGGACCTCCTGGTTTATAGGTCATCGCGCAACCACTGAACCACTCTGCTATTTCTTTTTAACGGTAGAAACTATTCATTTAGTTACCCAGGTTAAAAACTGGCATATAACACTGACAGTACAAGGAATTTAATATTGTTTCATCATGTGCTAAGTGAGGCAATAGATGACAGGAATCTCTAAGCACCAGGGAAAGGGTCATGACCCAGACTTCAAGGTCAAATAAGACAGTTAACAGACATTGATTAGACCAACATCATCAAATTGTATCAATTATATGTCCTAAATATCTTTCAAAATTTTCTTCTTACTCTATACCTATGACACTGCCCATTACATAGAGCCTGTATTACTTCATAACGTTGATCCAGCGGGAGGAAGCTACACAAAAATGTATATCTTCCTTATATCATTCACCAGCTTTAAATCTGAGTCCTTCAGATAAAGACAGTCTTGGCCTGCCTCTCAAGCCTTAGTTCTCAACTCTCCAAGTCTCAGCATTTGTGGCCTCACACCAGGAAATTTCTCTCTTCTGTGCCTTTGCTCCTTGCTGTTCCCTTTATCTGAAAAGGAGCTTTTCTTCTACCTGGCTAAATTCTACTCATCTTTTAAGGATGAGTTTAAGAGTTACCTCTTCTGGGAACACTTCTCTCAAGTCAGCGGTTCTCAACCTGTGGGTCGCCACCCCTTTGGGGGTCGAATGACCCTTTCACAGGGGTCGCCTAAGACCATCCTGCATAGCAGATATTTACATTACGATTCATAACAGTAGCAAAATTACAGTTATGAAGTAGCGACGAAATGATTTTATGGTTGAGGGTCACCACCACATGAGGAACTGTATTAAAGGGTCGCGGCATTAGGAAGGTTGAGAACCACTGTCCCAAATACTCCAAACCTTCCGAACCTGGGAAGAGGACCTTGTATTTCTACCCCTCTCACCTTACCCACCTCCAGTGGCAGGGGACAGGTCTTATTTTCATCACGCCTTCAGGGAATGTCTGAATGTAATCCAGTAAAAATCAGAAATTAGTGCTTAGACCCCATAGAGCTCTCATTCAAATGTAATGTTCTCAAAATCCTCACACTAGCACTGCCCTTTAGTTTGCAAAACATTCTGATAAGGCTCTTTATATCCTGGGGCAGAAGTTTAAAAAATGAACTGTTTTTAAACCCTGGAGCTAGAGAAGCGCTTCAAGAAAGAAGCAGGACATTATCTTATCCAGACAACACTAGTGAAGAGGATCAGGTGCTGTAAAGGTGACCCTCCCGGCCAGGAAAACCCCGCCCCCGCGTGCGCCTCTGCAATATCCCGGGCACATCAAGCCCTCCCTCCAAGACTACAAATCCCAGTATGCCTCGAATACAATGAGTGGCAGGGCGCAATGCACGCCGGGATCCGTAGTCCGGTTCTAGTTCAGGAAAAGGCCCAGAACGTCCCGTGACGTCAGGAGGGCTCGGAAAAGGAGTCGGAACCGGTCCAGGTTCAAGTTAAATCTTAGAGAGCAGAGCCTGGTTTCTTTGGTGACCCGGTTTCAGACCCCACCGCACAGTTCAGCGGACCTATGGTGTGCGTTGAGTAGCCTCTCGCGTGATTCCTTCGCGGTTAAAGGGGAAGGACCAGACGGCAAGAATAGGCAGCCTTTTGCCCTCGCGGCGCCGACTTGTTAACGTAGTGGTACGCAGGGCGCTTCCCTGCACAGGGGCTGGGACGCTGCTTCCCCAGCAGCGCTGAAGAGGTCGCGGCAGAACTCTCCCTGACAACCACTTGCCTCTCCTCCGCCCGTCTGCTCAGAGGCGCGGGAGGCGCAAAGGCTGCTGGGAACGCGCATGCGCCCATCCGGGTGGGGAGTACTTTTCAACGTCCGCGGGAGTGAGGGGCGGGGGGATGGTGTCGGGTGTCGGCAGCGGTGCTTTGCGGCCGGTCGTGCGGGCGGGCGCGGGCGGGCGCGGCGGCCGTGGCGCGCGCAGGTGATTGACTGGCCAGCTGGCTGAGGGAGCGTCTGGTCTTCATCGCTGGCAGGTGGCGGAGCTCAGTGGGGCGGCTGCGGAGGCGGCAGCGGCAGCCCGACTCCGGAGGCGCTCCTCCGGCCAAGGCCATGGCCCCGCGGCTGCAGCTGGAGAAGGCCGCCTGGCGCTGGGCGGAGACGGTGCGGCCCGAGGAGGTGTCGCAGGAGCACATCGAGACCGCCTACCGCATCTGGCTGGAGCCTTGCATCCGCGGCGTGTGCAGGTGAGGCCCGTGCACCGGGCTCGCGCCCCCCATCGCGTCGGACCTTGGAAAATAGGGCTGGGGGTCGGGTTGGGGGAAGGAAGACGGCGGCCCATCGCGTGCATCCAGCAGGAGCGGAGAGGAGCAAGGTGGAGGCTTCCTCCCTTCCGCCGTCTGGGCGCCCTGGGAAGCGCAGCCTTCCCGGGCTCTGCACGGCGGTGATGCTGCTGAGAGCGCTGTAGGAAGGGTTCTGGGTTCTTAGCTAGAAGATGGCGGGGGAGATGGTTAAAGGCAGGAGCCGAGAGCTTAGCCAGCCTTGGTTGGATAGCTTGGCCACGGCTCGGCTTTTTGTTTGCAAAAGGGAACTACTTCGAAGTGAGCCTCCCTCGTTGCAGTGCATCCTACGTTCGTGTTGACGCTGTAGAATCGATCATCTTGGTATTACTTTTGGGTAGGGTTGCTTTGGAGAAACGTATGGTTACCCTACGTCATCGGTGCCCTTCATCCTCCTGTTGACCTCCCTCCTCTCGCTAATCTAGTATTTTTTTAGCCTCCCCCCCCCCTTTTGGGGGGGTCTTCCAGACTACATCTCTCGACCAAGTATGATGTTTGAGTTGTGTAAGTTTTGTCCTTCACTTCTGCTGAGCCTTTGAACCTTGCCTTTCTTTTTAGATCGAGTCCGTAGGCTTTGCGCCCGTCTCCTCTGTTTTTCCACCTTTTAACGCGGGAACTATAGTTTTTGTTCCGGAATGTTGTTGAATTGACTTGGCCACGCCGGGCATGCTCAGTAGCCGCCTTTCAGCAGGCGCTTAGTAAAGGATTTTTTCTGGTTTCTGCATTCTGTGGCGGGATCCGGAAGGAATGGGAGTCAAGGTCTCAGCCTTGGAGCTTGCAGTCCCGTTGAGAAGTCAGGGAACTTCTCTAAGGCAAAGGAGTCATTCCCAGCTCTGGGCGTCGGGCTCGCCGGAGGGCCAATCTGACGCCAACAGTAAGTGCTGGGGTGACCAGAAGTGCGTGTGTAATGGAATTTATTAAGCTCAGCCGTCCTCTCAACGTAATTAGGCTCCAGCGTAACCAAAAAATGTAAGTGCTTTCACGTAGTTCTGCTTTTAACGGAAGTCAAGGGGTAGGAATTGGCTGAGATCAGTATAACGTGGGTGTCATCGAGAAGATGAGTTTTAAGCTGCGGTTGCAAACTTTACATTCAAGCAGTTTTTGCCCTTTTTTAAAACAACATTGAGATGTAATTCACATAGAAGATTCACTTTGAAATGCCGAGTCCAGTGTTTCTTGTTTGTATATACACAGGGTTATTCAGCCATCACCACAGTCTGATTTTAAAACATTTAGGCCCCCCCAAAAGAAGCCCGTTAGATTGGCACTCAGCCCTCCCCTGTATTCCCTGATTCCCAAGCTCCAGGCAATCACTGATCTATTTTCTGCCGATACATTTACTACTTTGGACATTTCATGTAAATGGAATCATACAATATTTGGACTTTTGTGACTGGCTTCTTTAATTTAGTATAATATGTTCAAGGATCATCCATGTTGAAGCATGTATCAGTATTTCTAAGAAATTGTGTAAAAAGCAGAATTTATCATTTTAAAGTACCCAGTTCAGTTTGTACAACCTTTACGGTGTTGTACAGACATCACCATTGTCTTGTTCTAGTACTTGTTTTCCATCACCCTAAAAAAAGAAACTTCATATCCATTAAGTTCACTTCCCATTTCCCTCCCTTTACCCCCTAGCAACCACTATTGTCTCTGGATTTCTCTATTCTGGATATTTCATAAAATGGACTCATAAAATGTGTGGCCTTTTTAGGGGCGGGGGGACTCTTGTTTTCAAGAGTCATCATGTGGTAGCACATATCAGTGCTTATTCCTTTCTATGGCTGAGTAATATTGCATTGTTTGGATCGGCCACGTTTCATTTATCCATTCATCACCTGATGGACTTAAAAAAAACCCTCGCTCCCTCCCTCCCTTGGCTGGAGGACTCAGTGATTAGAGGGCACGTGCCTCCCTGCCCCTGGGTGGGGCATATGTAACTAATCTGTGGCCCCCTCCCTTTTACTCTGTAAAAGCAATGAAAAAAATATCCTCAGGTGAGGATTTAAAAAAAAATTGCCCTCCCCAAACTTTATTGAGGAATAATTGACAAATAATTGTATTACATTTGAAGTGTGTAATGGTGCTGACTTTGTGTGTGTGTATAATTTTATATATATAAAATGTGTGTGTGTGTGTGTGTATATATATATATTTTGGTATGAGTTACTAAGATCAAGATAATTAACATTCATCACCTCACAGGGTTAACCTGATTGACATTTTGGTAATTTCCACTCTTTGGCTATTGCGAGTAGTGTTGCTGTGAACATTTGTGCACAGGTTTTTGTTAGACTACCTGCTTTCAGTTCTTTTGGAGATACAGCTAGAAGTGGGATTGCTGGATCATGTGGTAATTATGTTTAATTTGTTGAGGAACTGCTACACTGTTTTCCATAGCTGCTCTGCTCTTTTACATTCCCACCAACAATGTAAAAGGGTTCCAATTTCCCATTAACCTTGCCAACATTTGTTACTTTCTATGTTTTCTTTTTTAAATGGCATTTCATTGTGGTTTTGATTTTCCTAATGACTAATGTATTGAGCATCTTTTCATGTGCTCCTTGGCTATTTTCATTTTTTTTTTTTAAATCCTCACTCAAGGATATTTTTATTCTATTAATCTTAAGAGAGAGTAGAAGGGAGGGAGAGAGGAAAAACATCAGTGTGAGAGAGACACATCGATTGGTTGCCTCCTGCATGTGCCCTGACCCAGGGGGTTGACCCTGCAACACAGGTACGCTCCCTTGACCAGAATCAAACCTAAGACCCTTTGGTGGGCGGGCCGGCGCTCTAACCACTGAACACAACTGCCAGGGCTTGATTTCTTCTTTTTTTTTGCTGAATAATACCCCATTTTATGTAAGCACCTACTACATTTTATATATATTTATTCATCAGTTGATGGACATTTGAGTCATTCTACTTTCTAGCTACTATGAATAACGCTGCTGTGCACATTTGTGTATAGTAGGTTTCTGTGTGGACATTATGGGCAAATTATTTTTCAAAGTGGCTACACTACTTTATATACAAAGTATGAGGATTCCAATTTCTCCATCTTTACAGCAGATATTTGTCTTTTCTTTGGTTTGTCACTTTTTCTATAGCCATCTAGTGAACGTGAAATGATTTTGATTTGCATTTCTTTGATGACTAATAATGTTGAGTATCTGTGCTTTTTGGCTAATTCACATATCTTTGGAGAAATGTCTATTGAAGTGCTTTGCCCATTTTAAAATTGGATTATTTGTCTTTTATTATGAGTTGTAAGAGAGTTCTTTTTTAAAAAAATTATCTTTATTGTTGAAAGTATTACAAATGCCCCCCTTTTTCTCCCCATTGACCTCCTCCACCCTGAACCTCCCCACCCCTCCTCAAGAGTTATATCTATCTATCTGTATATTTATCTATCTATATTTTAGAAGCCCGGTGCACAAATTTGTGCACCAGTGGGGTCTCTCAGCCTAGCCTGTGAGATTGAAACCAGCTCTCTGACATCCCCCAAGGAGTCCTGGATTGTGAGAAGGCACAGACCAGGCCGAGGGACCCCACCAGTGCACCATAAGGGCCCAGGAGGAATGTGGGAGGCTGGCCAGCTGGGGAGGGGCCACGGGAGGGCTCCAGGGTGTGTCCGGCCCATCCCACTCAGTCCCAATTGGCCAGAACACAGTAGCAAGCTAACCTATAGGTCAGAGCGTCTGCCCCCTGGTGGTCAGTCCACATCATAGCAAGTGGTTGAGTAGCCTTAGCATATCATTAGCATATTTTTTCATTCTTTTTTTTAAAAAAAATATATTTTATTGATTTTTTTTTTTTTTTTTACAGAGAGGAAGGGAGAGGGATAGAGAGAGTCAGAAACATCGATCAGCTGCCTCCTGCACACTCCCTACTGGGGATGTGCCCGCAACCAAGGTACATGCCCTTGACTGGAATCGAACCTGGGACCCTTGAGTCCACAGGCTGACACTCTATCCAAACCGGTCAGGGGTCATTAGCATATTATGGTTTGATTGGTTGAACGGGCGACCGGACACTTAGCATATTAAGCTTTTATTATATAGGACTAGAGGCCTGATGCACGAAATTGGTGCAAAGGGCTTGGCCCTTGCAGCCACGGCCTTGGCCCTCACAGCCATGGCCTTGGCCCTCACAACCCTGGCTTCTTCTGGAAGGTCGTCTGGCTGTCTGGCTGTCTGGTCTGATTAGCTTATTACACTTATAGATTGGATACATGTCCCTTATCTGCAAATATTTTCTTCCATTCTGTGCGTTTTTCATTTTCTTGATGGTAATCATTTGCAGTATAAAAACTTTAATTTTGATGCAGTCCAGTTTTTCTAATAACTTTTTTATTAAAATATTTTTAAAAAATAGCACACCCCACACTGGGGATTGAGCCCACAACCTGGGCATGTGCCCTTGACCGGAATTGAACCTGGGACTTTTCAGTCCACAGGCCGATGCTCTAGCCACTGGGCCAAACCAGCTCGGGCTTTATTGAAATACTAGAGGCCTGGTGCACAAAAGTTGTGCACAGGTAGGTTCTCTAGGCCTGGCCAGCAATCAGGGCCGATCGGGGCCTTCCTTCGTTCTGTGCTCCCGGCCCTGTGGTCAGCACACATCATAGCGAGCAATCGAATTCCAGGTCGAACTCCCGAGGGGACACTTTGCATATTAGCCTTTTATATATATATATTTTTTTAATTGTTATTAATTTTGTTTGTTAATCCTCACCTGAGAATATTTTTCCCATTGCTTTTCAGAGAGAGTGTGAGGGAGGGAGGGAAGGAGGGAGGAAGAAAGAGAGAGAGAGAGCCGAAACCGGTTTGGCTCAGTGGATAGAGCGTCGGCCTGTGGACTGAAAGGTCCCAGGTTCGATTCCGGTCAAGGGCATGTACCTG